TCAAATTTTCTTCCGATTAACCAGTGTTGCCAATATTTTACCGCTTCTTTGACAGCTAGGCATTCCAAATATATCGCTTTTTTCCTTTTTTGGGTTTCGTTTAATTTCTTTGAGAAGTATGCTACTGGCTTCTCTATTTCGTTATGTTGCACCTGTTTTAATACTGCCCCTATACCTTCGAGTGATGCGTCTGTGTAAATCCGTATCGGCAAATCCTTGTCAAATATCTCTAGCACTGGTTGGGAGCATAGCAATTTCTTTATTTCTGTAAAAGACCTTTCGCAATCTTCTGCCCATGTGAACTTTTCATTTTTCCTCAATAATCTATGTAATGGATCTAACAGTATCGAGTTTTTTGGTATGTATTCATGATAGAAATTGACTTTTCCTAAGAATTGTCTGATGTTTTTCTGTGTTTTAGGGGTTGGGAAGTTTTGAATTGAAATTAAATTATCTTTCATTGGTCTCACCGTGTTGTTTTCTATTATGTGTCCGAGATATTTCACTGATTTTGCCGCAAATGTACATTTCTTTAATTTCAATCTGAAACCTTCATTTATTATTGCCTCCAATACTCTTTTTATATGTCCTATATGTTCTTGAAATGATTCTGAGAAGATTAATATGTCATCTAATATAGTTTTCCGTGAACCCTTTTAGGTTATATTTTCTTAATATGTTGGATAAAATTCTTTGGAAAATTGCTGGTGATGTCTTTAACCCGAATGGTAGGCATGTCCATTGAAAGTGTCCATCCTGTGTTACGAATCCTGTCTTCTTCCTATCTTCGATGCGTAATGGGATCGACCAAAAAGCCGAATTTATATCTAGTGTAGTGAAGTACTTGCAGTTTCTTGTTTTTATTATCAGGTCGTTTATTAATGGAAATGGTTGGGCTTGTGGTATAATAATCTTATTTAGATCTCTGAAGTCTATGCATAGTCTAGATTTTTTCCCTTCATCTCTTTTATAGGCTAGTGTCACTGGTGCAGCGAAAGGGCTGTAGGATTCTTCAATTAATCCTTTTTTTAGTAACCTACCCACTTGCTCTTCAATTTCTTTTTTATCCTCTATTGTACATCTGTATGGTCTTTTACTACAGTATTTATCCACGATTAGATCTATCCTAGCTTCGTAGTCTGTTACTGTACCAATGTCGTATTTGTCTTTTGCAAATATGGTATTATATTCTTCTATTAGTTTTTTTATCCTAGTCTTCTTTAGATCATCTAAATGATCTAGAATAATTTTAAATTCGTCCTCTTTGATGTGTTCATTAAAATTTACGCAGTATTGTTTATTTTCGTTGTAGTTATCTGTTTTATCTGGTTTTAGTTGTAAATCTGTTTCTTTTTTTT